GGGAGGTATGAAAACACAGCCATTGGATTGTTTGCAAGTCTGTATCCGCCAAAAAAAAAAAAAGCCTACAGAATGTCATAGTTTTGAGTTTTAAACTCGTAATTTCGAGTTTTAATTACATGTTTTAAATAGTTCATCCACTTGGTGCCACTGTGTTATATTTTCCGGGAAGGTGGGAACATACTGCACGTGGGGAGGGAATTGTACAGGTATCCGATTTCAAGTCGGAAGAAGTTTGTTTACCCACACTACTTGGAGCTGGAACGAAGATTACATAGTTACAAGAAATCCTAGTGATTTATCTTATGGAAGCAATACCATCGCTATTAATAGTATCTGTTTTGATATTTATATATTGTGCTTTTGTTGCGCAGAAACTGCACATGCAGACTTTAAATCTCGAAATTACAACTTTAAATGTCAAAATTATAACTTTTAAAGTCGTAATTTTGAGTTTTAAAGTCGTAATTTCGAGTTTTAAACTTGAAATTTTGAGTATTAAACTCAAAATTATGACTTTCTGTAGGCTTTTTTTTTTTTTACATGGCGAAACGGGCTTCTATAGGATTGACCATTGTTTGAATTGAGAAATTGCCAAAACTAATTTAGAGGTGATACATTTGTTTTAAAATGTAAAAAACCGCTCTGAGGACTGGGTTTTTAGATAGAAAGGGGCAGAGTTCTATGCTTGTAATAGAAGTTCTCGAAATAAGCATTGATGGATCTAAAAACAACTTTAAGTCTGTGTGATTAGGGAACAATGTTGTAACATTGTAACAAGATTATCTATACACATATGTCGCCTTTAAAGCCTGGGTGGATACCTACATTTTTTTCCCCATAAATAATCCATGATGTATTATATTAGAAAACATGTTATCTTTTGCATACTCGTGAGAAAGTGTGTCATTATTTAACACTTTGGGCTTAGAGCTTATTGGCGGTGGTCCTCTCTTATTCACTTTTCTGTCTGAAAAAGCTGATCAGGCCAAAAATACATACACATGGAAACTAGTGATAGAACCAAACTGCTTTCAGGGCTAAGAACACTTTTTTTTTTCACCCTTGATTAAAATAAGTGAAATATTGAAGCTGTGATAACGATGCAATTACAAAAATACATACGGGTACATATCCTTGTTGGTTTGCAAGTCAAAGCTATTGACCAAATTAGGTCAAAGAGTCAAAAAGCTGTTCTGTACATCACATTCAAGAGACATGCTTTTGCTGTGAGGCCATGAAATCTCTTTGAACAAATGTAAACGCGTTCATGTGGTCTGATGTATTGAAGTTTTTCTCGGCGTGTTTACATCTCCTCTGGGTGAAGCTCGCTGACCTCAGTCTCAGTGGGAGAGGAGAAAGTAGTTGTAGCGGTCATGTTTTGTAAAACTGAAGATATTTGTTGTTTACTATCTCTTTTATCCATTTCGCAAACACTCTTTCTGCCTCTGTTGGATGCTGTCTGTATTATTTGAGCTTCTCCAAAACGGCGCCTGTGAGTAAAATGGACATATATTTTGAATGTTTTTGGAGCAATTTAGATTCCCCTCCTGAATTCAAGCCGTTGTTTTGACTATCCCTGTTTTCACCACTGATGCCACACGCACACTCTTACTTTAGTCATTTCTGGAGAACAACTGAAAATGTGAAACCAAGATCTGATATAGATCTATTTTCCAAATATTTTACATTTTGATGTTTTAGTTGAGGGTTTTACAAGACAAGAGCTATAATTATTATCATTAAAACAAATATAGGCTTGATCTCACTTTGCGTGTAATGAGTCATATTGGTTTCACATTGTAAGTCAAATTGCAGAAAACAAAACTGGGCCATTACGCTCATTTCCTGAAAAGTTTGCCAAAATCCTTTTGAGAACATGTATGAAACTAAAAAAAAAACAGTTTTCAGCCTGAACATAATCAATGCCATAGAACAGGCCCTCAACTCAGAGTCCCGGCAGGAGGCTAGTCCCTGTGCTCCTCAGAGTTCAGGTCGTTTCATATGGCACTAACATGTCATAGATGTACTTTGGTGCAAAGCCATTGAGAGACTTGCTTGAGACCTTGTTTACACACAGAGAGTTCACATCTTTTTCTTCACACAGCTGTGACACAGCCCCTGCCGCACACAACATATCTGTTTTGTTCTACTTTTGAGGTCGTTTTTCAACACTTGCGTTTTCATCCCGCTGAAACACTGCCGCCTTGTGAACGAAAGGCCAATCCACTAAAGTCTATTGTTTTACTCCCACAGTGTCTCCGTGTAACTAGGACCAGTCTAGGAAGCCAGTGCCGAGATCTGAAAAGATCCATTCTTTATTGCCTTTTTCCTCCCCCTGTATTGGTTTGTAGAAGACATAAATGAGCAGCAAGTTCTTGTTAAGCATGATAAATATACTTAGCTCCACTACATACTGTCACACTGTTTTCTTGGCCATTATACTAGTAGGTCCACAACTTTGACACACTCCCAATGCAGAGTAAGCTGGTCCTCTATACCACAAAGACTGGAGCTTCCCTTTTCTCGCCTATGCAAAGCTCTCAGTGTCTGGAGTGCCGCGTTATGTGATGTGACATGCAGTGTGGTCTCCTCAGCCAGCCTACGTACTCGTGTCTACCCTCCAGAGATATGATTAATTCAGGGAGTACCGTCCACCAGCACCATACCCCTGCTCCTCCCCCGCCGTCGGCCTGTTACTGGATCACAGAGAAGGGGCCAGATTAAAATGGAGCATAATTAGACAGGAGGATCAGGCTTGCACTGTAGTAATTGAAGCAGTCCTGTCATCTAACACTGTCTAATTGGTCTCCTATCACAGAATACAGGTTACAACAGCAGCAGAGGGAAGCAGAGGGGAAAGGGACATTTGGTCACCAAGTAGACATTGTTTTCATGCACACAAAGCCTATGAATTACAAAATGTTATTTACTAAACACTTAAGTCAGTCTCCAATAAAGATAGAACTAATACTGCCGATATGCTACCATGGTATGTTAAACCTAATTCTAATAAAACTGCCAATTTTATTTTTATGAACCAAAAATGTATTTAATAATTATATACACAAGTGAAACCCGGAAAATCGACTTACAATGTCAAGTAAGTCACTCATGTGTCATAAGTCATATGACACTCATTACATACACACATATCATACTTAAATTAACATTTATTGGCCGATCTCTCGTCTACAATATATTCAATGTGGCCGTAATGCATGCTTGAGTAATCTTTCCTCCCCACACTCAAAACACTCATGATGACCACCGCCACTGGTAAGCAACCTTTTTGGTTGATGCAAAGGAAGGTTTCTCACCCATCATCTGTACTTCTACTACAAAAATTGGCTCAAACCAATTCTTCTCCCGAGCCAGAGTTTGAACCTCTGTGTCATCCACCGTGTGGTTGGAGGCCTTGAGGTGGAGATGAACAGCCGACTGTGGCCCACTAGAGTTTTCTCTACTATGTTGGTAAAGTTGTTTCTGTAGAGTTTGTTTAGTTTCTCCAATATAGTGGTCAGTGCACTCCTCTTCACTACATTTAATTGAATACACCACATTGCTCTGTTTGTGTCTTGGTGTTTTGTCTTTGAGATGCACTAATTTCTGTCTTAATGTGTTGAAAGGTTTGAAATACACAGGGATTTTGTGTTGCCTAAAGATTCTTTGTACATCATTATATATTTAAAATCTCAATATTAATTTAAAACAATAATGTGCCTACCCCAAGCCCCGGTGATCCAAGATGGCGCCCCATTCAAATGAATGGCTTGTACTCAGTAGCGCATGGGACTTTATGGAGACCGGGAGATTAGCAGAACTCGCCTATAATTGGGAATCGTCTGGTCCTCCCGGTTCTGCGCAGTGGACGAGCTCCCATGATGCGTTGCGCAAAACGTGCGCGTGTGGCTTTCATGCACGCGCACAGAGGGGCTCGGCCGCGCTCTGACCAATCAGAGCTGCTGATCATAGCAGCAGCAGAGCGGAGTCAGAGCGGGAAGGAAAGGAGCAGAGTTTGTGGCAGTAAAGTGTGGATTTAAAGAAAACAGAAAGCTTTAAGAGGAAAAAAGTTCAGGATGACAAGGGACACTAAAATCCCCACAAAATCCGATCTTTATGAAAGCTGTAGATTCTCTGTCAGCTGAGGTCGAGCTGTTTTAATTTACATTGAGTTCTATGGGACTTTTTTCTGGGTAGCCCTCGTGAATTTAGTCTGCAGTACCACGGGCGGCCCCTGTGCCCATGGGTGGGACAGCTGTAAGCTAGTAATACCCTATCCAGTTATTATTATAGATCCATGGCCTACCCCCTCAGATCATATTAGGAAGTGGCAGATTTTATGAATTCAATGCAGTATTCAGTCGTACAGAAACAATGCTTTAGTTGTTGGTTTTATATTTAATGCGTATCAGAAACCTCAGCAAAAATCATTTAGAAGCATGTTTTATCCACTTTCCCACATTTGCTGTATGTTTTTTAATCCCTGTTTGCACTCACTCCTTTTTTATTAATTATCATATTAATAATGATAATAATAAGTATAATTACGTCTTAACATGTGACACACACATTTGTCTTCAAAATGGTAAGTTTTACTTTTAAAATTACTTTTATAAATACCATTAAGCCACACCTGCATGTTCAATCCAATCCCTGCTTATTCCTCTTGGCATCACCGTGCCTCTCATAAAGTCATTTTCCTTGTTGCATCTCCTCGGGGACAAAAGCCATCAATTGCAGAATACACAGGTGCCTTAAATCAGCTTTACTTCACACACTTTCTTATAACCACGCCACCTCTTATCTCATACTCAAATCTTTGTTTCGCTTCTTGGCGCTCAGCAGGGGAGGTCAAGCCGTTGTCGTCCCACACAGAAATTAAATGACAGATTCCATTTAAGATACGCACTCATTCAGATCTGGAAGATGCCGCACACCAGATCGCGGATCCATCGGGAAAATATATGGCTTATAATTATACCCTAAAGATTTGTATCCTATCTCTTTGCTGCAAGGTTACATATAGGATACCACTGCGGAGTCAGGATTTGAAAGTGGCCTGAGATGACACCACTCGAGCTGCGGATGCGGATGTGCTGGAGTAAATACACGTATTGTAGGCGTATGGAGGCAAATTAGGCTCTATCGCACATTCAGAACAGAAGGGAGGAACATGGGTTTACTCACGATGTGCAGAAGTGGTTTCTCGTGTTTCACCTGCAGGCGACAGTTGTTCATCTCCACAGTGAATAAGCTGCAGTAATAAAGTCAAAAGGCATCATTGAAATTGCTTGTTGAGTTTGAGAACGCTAAAATGAATCAGTTTGGATGCTCTATGCAGTTCACTACTTGCAAGAACTAGAAAGTTGTGTGTCAATCCATTAAGTATATGCATCACCAAAAGAATGCATTTCAGCTGCAGTTTCTTAAATCTCGGGTCCCTAACTTTTTATGATAATCCATTATTGTGTTTGTCCCAATACTTTTATCACTATGGCTCCCAGTCGTTTTGACGGTTCCCATTCAAATGAACCCTTTAATGGTTTCCTCAAACATTTAGTGGATTTGAGGCACTATAGGAACGACAGTAGAGCACTGGTCTTTGGACCGAATGGTTGTGGGTTCGATCCCACCACAATACATGTCATCTGCTCCCACCTATGTAAGTAAGTAATCTTTATTTATATACCGCCTTTCACAGACCAGAGTCACAAAGCAGTTTACAATTGTTATTTTTGGGCATTTGTCCTCTCACTCCACACAGAGATGGGAGCGGGGTCTTCTGTCATTGTGTCCCTGGGCAAGACACTTAAGCCCCCATTGCTGAAAGACCAAGGCCTCTTCAATGACAGAGAAGCCATCTTCCTGTGGACCCACCCCTGCAGGAGGTGGTGCATTGAAACTTGGGTTGTAGCTCTGATTGACAAAAATGGAAGGGGAAGACCATGACATGACAGGAGTCACTATATCAACTTGAAGCTTGGAACTAAAATCTACCTAATTGGAGCTCTCATTTGGTTTTAACACCATGCATTTGACACTTTGGACTGAGAGCAGAGTGGCTGAACGCTCCCTTAGAGATAGGGCGAGGAGCTCAGTCACACAGGAGGAGCTCGGAGTAGAGCCGCTGCTTCCTCAGTTGTGGTGACTCAAGCATCTGTTTGGGATGCTTCCTGGACGCCTCCCTGGGCATGTCCCACTGGGAGGAGACCCCGGGGGAAGACCCGGAACACGTTGTAGGGACTATGTCTTTCAGCTGGCCTGGGAACGCCTCAGGATCCCCTCGGATGAGCTGGAAAAAGAGGGAAGTCTCTGTTCATACTTTTGCCCCCACGAGCCGGTAACGGATGAAGCAGAAGAAAACGGATGGATTTTATGGCTACATTTTTTGGTGGTTTGAAAATAACGTACCCCAGCTTTAGCAGGGGATTTGCATTATATGAATGGATGGAGTCTGTGCTTTTTAGGCTTCAGCTTCCTGTTCCAAGCAACATTTTTAGGACATTTTCTCATTCAAAGGATTAAATATTCAACAGCCCTCATTCCTCATCGGTCTGAAACTTATGGATAGTCAGGGGCCCAAAGAGGAACACAACCTCCAAATAAAGAATAACCCATCATTTTAATTATCTTTAAAAGTCCCCACATGTGAATATCGTGTTGTTGCCTTCATTTCACTGCATGTTCGAGCTCGTACAACAAAGCACTTACCTTGAACTGGCCGCATTACTCACTCACTAAGCCAAGAATGATTGTGATGTTTCTTTAGTTTGAAGGGCAATTTCTCCTCCTGTTGTCTCCACCACTCCGGCTATACACTCGTCGAGCGTCGTGTCAAGTGCCTCCTCCGACGTCATGGTGACAGGAAAATGAAAGGTCCCATCCTTCTTGTTGTGTCTTCCCCAGGTGATGGCGGCTGTCCCCATTCCGTCAGACGAGCGAGATGCGAGATCCTCAAAAACGGTCCATTACGGGATGCCAAAGGGGGGGGGGGGGGGGGCGCTAGCATTAAGGATCAGTTACAAATAATGCATGTGTCTCTAAGCCTCGTACGAGATTCAAGATATCGGCAAGATGTGGAACTAGTACATGGCCGGAAAGACGACAAAAAACATGATTAGGGAGATAGTTATGGGAGGATTTAGAAAACATTCAGTTTTCATGTTCTAGACATTATATAATTTCATCTATAATTTATCTCATTCTTACAGTCTTATGACATCATATGCATTCTCAGGAGACAATGCTTTTAGATCTGGTGATTGAGACCATTGTCAAGGAAAATATGAAGGAGGAGCAAGCGGTCTAATCTGAGCTTCATCCAAAAATTTTTTTGAGGCTGATGTATTTGAGTTCTTGTCTTTATCGTTTCATTTTTTCTCTTGTTTTACTTGGAATTCCTTATAATTTCCAATATCTTCCATTGGATTTCAGAATCAGATTATAGACAAAATAAATTGATACTTTATTGATCCCTTGTTGGAGAAATTCAAGTGTCCAGCAGCAGAAGCATCCACCAGCAGGGCCGGAGTGGGACAACATTTCAGGCCGGGAGCTTTTCATCCATTCAGACCACCCCCCCCCCCCCCCCCCCCACACTCTTACTGGGTGAGAATTAAACTGTCATTTACTCTTTACTCCAATAAACTGAGTGAGCCATTCTATTTCCGATGCACAATTGATTTAAATTCCCAAATGAAAGTATCTCATCTACACTTTGATCATAAGTAATCACTGTAGCATTCCCTTAAGCTTTATGGGTCTTTGATTTATGTAAAGGGTAGTGGTTTAATGAAACTAGTTGCACAAGGTCAAAGTTCACAAATATTTTAATATACTGAACATGAGAACAATCATTTACCCACAATGTGGTGTCTGAATTTCAATAAGAGATTCTGCCATTGCTGCACCTAATAGGGCAGATTAGCCCTATTGTTATTTAATGAATATTTAGTGGGTGACTGTGGATAATAGGCTATTCTGCAAACTTATTTTTTTTCATAAAGTCTGTTCCTCAAATCAAATCAAATTTTATTTATCAAGCACTTTCCTGCTTTACATTAAAAAAAATGCATGCTGTCAAATGCTGCTGTCAGACTACAATCTACTACAATCAGCTCTGTTCCCAGTAGTTCAGTCTTTACCACCACTTTCTGTCTGTTTTTATTTAGCCTGTGTGCACATGTAGGTCTGTGTATCCACCAGGGAAAAACATAATAGTGTAGCCTACAGTATGAAAAAATTACAATTTATTTAATTATTATCATTATTCATTATTTATGTAAATGTATTTCCATATTATTACTGTTATTATCATTATTGATAATGTGTATATGCTGAACAGCTTACACAGCATTATTTTTCCAATCTTTTTACCTTTTACTGCTATTGTAACAGCTGGAATTTTCCCAAATGTGGGATAAATGAAGGACTAATATTAAAATCAAAACAAGCATTCATACACTAAATGGAACACACACTCACTCACTCTCACACACACATATTTTTATCATGACTTTCTTCTCTTTTTTTTCTATCTCCACTATGATTATTATTATTATATCATTATGATTATTTTTTATTTTTATGCTGTTAATTTCATGACATCTTTAATGGACCCCAGAAAGAGAAGCTGCTACCAGATGTAGCAGCTAATGGGGATCTTGGTAAAATAATAAATAATTCAGTACAGTCAATCACAAAGCAATTATTTTAGGTTATGTGTTTTTATTTTTTTATTTGGTGATGAGCTATATTTTTTTTAAATCCTCAATGCATTTTAAAATGTCAATGAAATGAGAATAACCACCCTGTGCTTCTTTGCTTTACCTACTATAACTGCAATTAGCATTCCTACTAACAATTGTATCATTAGCCATTAGTGAACACCTGCTGCAAATCTCACTTTCATCAACCAATTTGGAACATTTTACAGGTAGTCTGATTGTTTCTAAATACCTGAAGCCCATTTGCCTTCACTCGATTGTGGGTGTCCCTCTGTAGCAGCAGCCGCCGCACTGGTCTCACCTTCAAACCACCACACAAACACATACGCCAAACTTGAGCAATAGGACCGCGTATCAAAGCAGCCGTCACGTAATAGAGAGAGCATAATCGGGATACCTTTGTGTGTTAATTTTGCTCCTGTGCATATAGTAGCCTACCTGACAACTCGCTTCTTGAAAACATATCCGTGAGTTTATAATACTTTGCCACATCCTCGTCCAGCGCCTTCTTTTTTCTCATTTTCTCCCTTTCTGCGCCACCTTTCCTCTTTTTTTTCGACTCCATGATAGCATAGGCTACTGGGTGTAAATTACCTTGTTACTATTTCTTCTGTGTGGTGATTCAGCTAAAAATGTTTTTTAACGTTTAAACGTTAGAACTGTTACAAAAGTAACCGCAGCAGCGCGAGCGCTACACTAAAAGGACGTTCTGTAAGCTACTGTTCAAACGGAAAATGAAGGTTGCTTACGGTGAACTCTAGCGCCAGGTTGATAGGGAACAAGGTTCTAAATTTGTGTTTTTGTCATTGTATTTTGATGTTCTTTTAATAGTTTTAAGATTGACTGTCAAAACTTTTGTTTTCTTTTTTTTTTTTATATATTGACTGTTTATATAATCTCGGACGTTTAAGGATTGTTGTACGTTGCTTAGCAACGTAATGTTTATGGAGTTTAGTGAGAATAAAGACACACACACACACACATACACAATGAACTAAGTGTTCATTAGTGTATAACTATAACAAGCTAATCAATTATTGTTAAAAAAGTAGTAAGGTAAAATCACATCGTTACAGCTCATATAAAAGGAAAAATAAAAACGTGTATGAACCATCAGTTGGAGAGACCACTCATTTCTACCGGGGAAGCTACACTGGGTGCACTGCTAGGCTGGTGTGACGTCACATTTGTTTAATTTTGCTCTGGCCCAATGACAGTAAAGCTTTGGCGTTTGCAAAGACCGTGAGGATGAAATTAAATTAAAATAAAAAAATAAAAATATAAGACCGTGATGATAGGGCAGGCCCAGGCCACTTTGACACGCAGGCCACCGGGAGATCTCCCGATGCTCCCGATGGCCAGTCCGGGCCAGTCCACCAGTGTGATCCAGACAAGTACATCAATATTTTTATGACATACAAATACAGCATCTATGTACTTTTTCTTTATATAGAGAAGTGGTTTGGACACCCCGAAAAATTAGGCGCGTTTGCAGTCTTAAAATGTGTTGGTATATGGTTGGTGTGCTGAGAGGTGTGCGGAGCTATGTTCTGTTTAGTAATCTTGTGGTGGCTGTGGCAAAGACTCTGCCTTCTATCATAATTTTTCTATCATCAGAAAGTACTGCTTGGCTTGAGCTTGACTTCGCCCAAAATGTGCTCAACAACATTTAGTCTTCCTCTCGACATCCGTAGTCAGCCGAGCCTTCATCTGCCCCAAAATCAGTGCGTATGAAGCCAATTTAGCTCGCTCATTAAAAAGACATCATCGTTCTAACGTAATGGCGACATGCGGAGGAGGAGCGAGCCTTCAGAGTTTGAGATAGTGTTTTCTGATTGTGACAAGCTCAAGAGAGGAGGCTTCTCCAACGGTCACTGCAGTTGTAGGGAATGGGAAGGCAAGTGGAAGTTCAGGTCGCACAGTGCAAACAGAAATAGGCAAGACAAGGCAAGTTTTTTTGTATAGCACGATTCATACACAAGGCAACTCAAAGTACTGAAATACTATTCATGATGATAATAAATAATAGCAATGATAAAACTATATAAACTACTATAAATATATTAATGTGGGCCTCCAGAGGTTTCTCAGTTTCTCCAACTGGGTTTTTTATTAGATTTTTTCTTTACCGATGCAGGAGGGTCTAAGGACAGTGATGATCCAGGAGACTCGACATTCAACGACATTTATTAAGATTCTTGGACATCGGTCATCTAATGGACCAATGGTTCTATGTGTTTTTATCACTGCATTATTATTTTCAAATGGTTTAATTCTGTTTATTTTGTCCTTGTTCTTTGTTTATTGTTTAATTTTGAAAATGTTTGAGATAAAATACGCACTTACTTAATATTGTTGTATAGTATAATTTCACTCTTGTTTGCTAATAAATAATAATAAATGGATAAACAAAAATACTATGAGATAGATTGATTAAACGGTCCGCAATAAAATATAGAACAAACACACAAATTAGATGAGTCCACTTTTTTTGTATTTGTTTTATTAATGTATCCCTTTGGGATGCAACAATTCTCACGAATCGATTTCAATGCAAGGCTCACGGTTCGATTCATTTGAATGTGCAGGAATTAAAATTATTTTATTGATACATGTAGAAATAACTTAAAACAGAGTAACAAAACTATTGCAAGACAGCGCTCATTTTCTGTCACTACTTCTCGTTTCTTATTCCATAAAGAAACATTAAACGTTGAAGAACTGTTTGGAAGATTGTCATCAGAATCAGTTCATGAACCTTTCATAGCAGTATTTTTCACTCTTTTTCTGAAATTCCTCACATTCATGTCCTAATTTAATCATTTAAAAGTTATTGTCATGTTGCATTTAACATTTTGCGGTCTATGAAATGTTTTGAAATTGGATTGAAAACAATCAAGTCGGTTATGTGTCTTATTGTAAGTGGCATACATATAGAGGTAGTTTGAAAGTGAAAATAGATCCACAAGCTTGAACACAGACACTTTCTCTTTCATCGACTGCAGAACCCCAAACAAGTCCAAAAGTCCTTTTATCGTTGTGTGTTCTTCAGAAATACCACTACTCAGAAAACGTTCCCTTTAAACGGTTTGTTAAAGCCCAAGGTTTTGTCCTCGGCTGCAAAAATCAAAAACAACTTCTGAGTAAACACTTTACTGAAATACAATATTTCTTTTTGCACCAACGATTTCAAATGAAAA